TTACCTCCAAATGTTCTCCCTTGAATCCCTCGTTAATCTCCTTCAAGAATCTCCAAAAACGAGCAACTATGGGTGTAAAATGACCCCAAAATCGCGACCGACGTATTTTAAAACATTCTGCCCAGGTATTTACTCTTCGCGATCGCGAATGCTTCGCGATTGCGGAGAACAATTTTTCCAGCCCAAAATTTACTCTTCGCGATCGCGATGAACAGTTCCCAGCTCTTCCGGACAGCCTCCAGTATAATGGTCATAACTGTTTGTACACAACTCCAAATTACAAATAGTTTGATGTTCTGAAAATTAGACACATAGAGCTATAATTTCATATGTTGCTCATTTCCTGACTCCTCATACATTGTGAGATATAAGCTTTCAAAGTCAACCCTGTGTATTAGAGACCTTCCCGGGCAGCCTATAGTGTAACTACCATAACTTATTGTACACAACTTCAAATTCCAATTAATTTACATTTTTGATAACTAGACACAAAGGGATACAATTTTTATTTTTGGATCATCTCCAAATTCCTTATAGATTGTGAGATATAAGCTTCCGAAGTGGGATCAACGCAACAAGATATTTCTTCTCCGCGATCGCGAACGGCTTTCCGCGATCGCAATTCATTGGCACATTTCTCACATTTTACTCACCGAGATCGCGACCAATTCCCCGCGATCGCATAGAACACTGCTGTAGCCAAAAATCAGCAGTTAAAAATGGCCTAGAAATGGTCCGAAACCACCCCGAAACTCACCCGAGGCCCCCGGGACCCCAACCAAAAGCACGTACATGTCTTAAAACATTATCCAAACTTGTTCCAATCATCAAAACACATCTAACAACACTAAAATCATCAATTCTTATCGGATTCAAGCCTAAGTTCTTTAAAAACTTTTGAAACACGCATTCGATCAAAAACCCAACCAAACAGCGTCCGAATGACTTGAAATTTTGCACACACATCACAAATCACATATCGAAGCTACAGCAACTCTCGGAATTCCATTCCGACCCTCGGATCAAAATCTCACCTATCAACCGAAATCCGCCAAAATACTAACTTCGCCAATTCAATCCTAATTCTACACCGGACCTCCAAAATCAATTCCGATCTCACTCCTAAGTCACAAATCATCCCCCGAAGCTAACCAAATCACCGGAAATTACATCCGAGCCCTATAACTCATAAGTCAACATCCGGTTGACTTTTCCAACTTAAGCCTTCCTTAAAGAGACTAAGTGTCTCATTTCTTATCAAAGCCAATCCAAATCAACTCTCACACACCTCATAGCGATAACGAAACATGAAGAAGCATAAAATGGGGGAAACAGAGCAGTAACACATGAGACGACGGGTCGGGTCGTCACATATGGTGTGTGTATATATAGTGCAAGACTGCAGGGAATGAGAGGCTGAGTTATTAAACTCTTAATCTAATAATCCATAGCCTTTTATAGGTGGTGTATTGTGCTGCAGAATACACTTGATGGATGGACCTATATGAGTGTGGAGTGGGGCCGCTCCTATGAAATTTGTGGCAAAATTTCTAGAGCACTCATGAAAACCAGGCGCGCGCATGGCCTATAAGCGCAAAACCGCGACAAATAACAAAGTGTGTGCGGGTATATTGTGATAGATAAGACACTAAACTCACAAAAGAATTATTGGTTCATAGAAGTTTTGAACTTCACTAATTGTTCTGTAAGTTTAATCTTATTTTATCTAGGTCTGGTTCATAGTCCAAGAGACACCAGATTCGATGCATTATGCTCATTTGTTAAAACCCAGCAAAATTTCTTATTTTATTTTATTATGTGATATTATTTTTGAGCTATGTGGGGGATTGTTAAAAAATAATAATTTTAATATGTCAAAAAAAATATTTAAATTGATGTCTAGGTTCATTCTTTAATGTGTCTTTATATGACCAATAAATTTTTCTATATATTAATGTGTGTAGTAGTAAAATAGAATAATTTTAAACATAATATTTTATTAACATTTAATGGTAACAAAATCAGTTATGTTTTTGTAACTTTGAATTTGACCAAAGATGGGTCTTGTATGACCATTTCATTAAACGTCTATTTTAATAACATCTCATTAACTTTGATAATAAAGTTTCTTTGGCTTTAAATGATTGTAACGTTTGATAGCATAGAATCCTTAATGGATTTCAACGTTTTTTTATTACATTAGATGTCCATCTCCTTTTGAAAAATATATATAAAGCTATCTACTTGTGTTCATGGTAGGATAGAGTGAAAAAGCAATATGCTAATTTTCTTCTTTGTGCTGGGTTTTATTTTATTCAATCTTTGTTGTTTCTGCTCCTAGTTTATATTAGAAGAGCTTGTTGAATCCTGGGGGATACGCCTAATATTATTCATCTCGGTGTGGGCGAAATATCCTTAAGGACAGTGTCTTTGACACGCCTCAAGCTAAACTTTTTATTCTCCATAATCATCCAATTTTTCCAACAATTTTAAGGATATTTCCACATCTTTTATTATGAAGAATCAAATTTGACGATGTACAAGTTGTTGTTCTAATTCTGAAAATGGGATCTGCGCTTCACATTTGCACAATGATATCATGGAGAATATCATTCTGTATTCAAATTATTTTTGTGAGCTGCAATATGTTAATCAAGTTGTTGTTTCAATTTTGTGCATTATCGCATTATGGAGGATAAGTTGCACTACAAAATTAAAGTACGCCTTTTCTAATATTTGAATGCGCCTAAGGGCTAAGCTTACATAATTGTAGATTTTTAGTTATAGAATTCAATCCGGGGTACCTAATTATATTTATTTAAGAAATCGCTTTATTCTAAAAGCTCTTAAAAAATATTCTTTCATGCTTTCTATTGGAATCCATATCTCATTGTAATTTCTTCGAGAATTAATGTGTTCAACTTTAGCACAAACTATGTGAATTTGATAGTAGGACTTTTCGATCTGTGGTGAATTATTTTATTCTTGTTAGATTGATTCTTATTGTTAATTAAGAATTACACTTAAAAGTGGTAACCATCTANCAATAGAAAGCATGAAAGAATATTTTTTAAGAGCTTTTAGAATAAAGCGATTTCTTAAATAAATATAATTATATACCCCGGATTGAATTCTATAACTAAAAATCTACAATTATGTAAGCTTAGCCCTTAGGCGCATTCAAATACTAGAAAAGGCAAAAGAATATTTCTTAAGAGCTTTTAGAATAAAGCGATTTCTTAAATAAATATAATTATGTACCCCAGATTGAATTCTATAACTAAAAATCTACAATTATGTAAGCTTAGCCCTTAGGCGCATTCAAATACTAGAAAAGGCAAAAGAATATTTTTTAAGAGCTTTTAGAATAAAGCGATTTCTTAAATAAATATAATTATGTACCCCAGATTGAATTCTATAACTAAAAATCTACAATTATGTAAGCTTAGCCCTTAGGCGCATTCAAATACTAGAAAAGGCGTACCTTAATTTTGTAGTGCAACTTATCCTCCATAATGCGATAATGCACAAAATTGAAACAACAACTTGATTAACACGAACTAACACTAATTCATAAAATAATACTAATTGATACTAATGACTACTACTCATGTAAAGAACTATGATTACATGATGTTTATTCACTAGCTACTACGAATAAGCAAAAATAAAAATCAAACTACTCAATCATCTTTAACCACGGATCCATCACCGATCAAATAGTCTATTTTCCCATCAGGGTGCTCAAAGAAGTCTGCCACATCCAAGTGGGTGATGTCAAATTCATTGTCATAGACAAAATTGGCTTCAGGGCCTTTATTCTTTAGAGATGCTTGATAAAGCTCAACCAAATGTCTTGGTACACGACAAATATTTGCCCAATGCCCTTTTCCACCGCAACGATAGCATTCAGTTTCTGAACCATTTGCTTTTGGCTTCTCATTTTTCCCTTTTCACTTTTGGTGGTTATTTCTCTTTGGGGGATGATTAACACCAGGAAAATTTCTTCCTTGTCTACGGCCACGGCCACGACCACGACCACGACCACGAATAGAGTCACGGCCTTTTTCACGCTTAGCATAATGGGAATACACCTCATCCACTTCAGGCAATGGTGTAGACCCAGTGGGTCGATTTTAGCGATTTCTCATGAGCTAGTCATTGTTTCGCTCAGCCACAAGGAGAAGAGAAATCAGCTCAGAGTACTTCTTGAAACCTTTCTCTCTGTACTGCTGTTGCAGGACCATATTGGAGGCATGAAACGTTGTAAACGTTTTTTCAAGCATATCATAATCAGTGATAGTATCTCCACAGAGTTTCAATTTAGAAGTAATTCTGAACATCGCAGAATTATATTCGGAAACAGACTTAAAGTCTTGGAGCCTCAGATGAGCCCAATCATATCGTGCTTGTGGAAGAGTGACCAACTTTAAGTTGTCATATCTTTCTTTTAAGCCATTCCACAAAATAAGTGGATCTTTGACTGTGAGATATTCAATTTTCAACCCTTCATCAAGGTGATGGCGCAAGAAAATCAAGGCCTTAGCACAGTCTTGGGTGGATGCTTTATTTCTGTCTTTAATGGCGTCTCCAAGACCCATTGCATCTAAATGGATTTCAGCATCCAACACCCATGTCATATAGTTCTTGCCCGAAATTTCAAGGGCAACGAACTTTCTTTTCATAATGTCAGTCATAATTAAAAAGAGGAGAAAAATTACCTTAATCTTCTCAAAGAGTTTCTTGAGACGGTAGAGTCTCGTGCTGATAACGTGTTATAAAACAATAAAAGTAGAAGAACAATATTGCAGAGAAAGAAAGAGAAGTAATTCTTATTGAATTTTTGGGATGAATTACAATGGAATAGAACCCTCTATTTATAGGGAGAGGTTGACTTAGCCACCAAGTAATAAACCCTAGAATCTCTCTAAATATGGATATTCACCATAAATAAAATTCTATTTATAACATAAAAGGAATAATAATATTATTTTCGATCAGTTCAATACTTGACGATCAAGTACAGACCGACAGTACTCGTCGAAAGCATAAGCATAATGCATGTAGAAACACTTGGACCAAATGCATGTCTTTTTAAATTCGGGGACAAACATGTCGAGAGCTGTGGTCTAATCCACACCCATAGCAAAAATCATGCCCACACCTGCATGCAACATAGCCATTTCTCAATTTAAACACATACCGTATCCGAGAAAAAAGTGTTTACCTCTAAAAATTGAGTAACAATTAAATTTATAATGTGATTTTAAGAATACGTGATTTCATTTAATATCAATTGATAAACGTAAAGATAAGTGATGCAAATCGACAATAATACAAAGCAAACCAGCGTTTGGTCAATGCCCTCGAGCTAATGAACCCTCGAGCTTGATAGAGCAAGAACAGTTAAAGAGCAGCAAGTTGATAAACAAAAGAACGTGAGTTAAATAGAGAATATTATATTGCTTTGATATTCGTGAATGTAAGGTGTCTACAAATGATGAGGACTTCTCTTTATATAATAGAGGAATCCTAATTATGGTACAACTCTATTATGGAGGTAAATCTCATGATCGATATAAATAATCGCCCTTGATTTGATCTACTCCGGAATTTTCGCCGTGATCACCGACCGGTTACGGATATCTCGCCTTGCGTTATTGCACTTCACTCAAGGTCGGTCATACTTAGTCTCGATCGCTGCTGGCCTCGATCTCGACGAGCACCTCGATTCTTGGACTTGACACCCCGTCTTCATACTCCAGCCCGATCCACTACGAGACCGACCCCTTACGCGATCCCCCGGTCTCGATTAAGTAGCAAGATCGGGCGAGCCCGATCTTAACCGTATACAGATAGTCTCCTCGTTTCTTGGAGTATAATGAGAAGAAACGAACTGAGCCTTCCATTTATGTACCTCGACCAATTATGACATCACCCTCATGACGTAAGTGACGAAGGCGACTGAAGCATCGCGTCTGCACAGTTCTCAAGATCATTAATTAGTGCCAGTTGATGGTCGGCCACTAATGCTTTTGATCTTTCATATCAAATATTATAAATAGATCATCTTCATAATTTTCTCAAACTTTACTTCCAAAATCTCTTCTAATCTTCAAAGCACTTTTTCTCCCTTCAAGTTTTTCAGTTCTTCAAATCCCGTTTTTCAACCTTCTCCTCAAACAGCAAGTTTTATCTTCTTCTTTCTCTGAACTCATATAAAAATGGCGAAAACATCGAAAACCATTCATCAAAATGAAAAAACCTCTTTATCACGGCCGGTCGGCGATAAAACGCCGGTGGAGCCACGCTTTCGAAGAGTGTGTTCCTGGGTCATGCGATCTTCTGACTTTAAAGTTGAGAAACACTCGTCGGTACCTGGCCGATGTGGGCCAATGTCGAGATACATATGTTCGATAACTGAGGGCGATCTTGAATAGGTGAAAAAAGATCGCCATTGGGAAAACAAGGAGGTGGTGATTCCGACCCCTGAAGAGGACATCGCCACTTACGTAGAAGGGTTCTTAAGTGTTTACACTTTTCTTTTATGCTGGGTCCCGTCAATTTGGTTATCCTTGACTTTTGTCGCCAGTACCGAATAACCCTAGGCCAGATCCATCCTTCTTTCTAGCTTATCGTTATTTTGCTTCGATTCTTCGTGAGCATGGTCGAAGGGATGTCTTTCACCCTCGACCATCTCATTAGGCTGTACAGTACCCGTCTCTATTGAGGCAGATTAATAAGGCTTCAGCGCCGGTCCACGAAGGTGTTGTTCTCGAGCATAAACGAGGACAAAGATCGAGGATGGATAGGCCGATTTGTCCGAGTGAGGACTTCTGACATAATTCCGGCCAAGAAGATGTCATTCCCCGAAGAATGAAACATGAAGCGTAAGTACAAACCCGGCCCTTGACCTCTATTTACTGCTTCGTTCCTTTTATTTTTTTCTCACTGATGTTCCTTCCTACGATGCAACGGTCTCTTGGGTGCCTGGTGCAATTCCGAACCTCGAGGGCTGGGTTCGAAAACTGGCATCGACTTCTTCATATGCCAAACGTTTGTGGCGTGATTTGGCAAGGGGCCGATGGGAGGCCAAAAATCATGGTGCGTCTGTTTTTATGTGTTTGTCGTCCTTCTCTGAAATATCTCTTTTTTATTCCTACCTCGTTTCCTTTCATACAAGTCTCGGGAATACTGCTATCATGAGGCCGCCCCCGCCTGGAGAAGTGGAGGAGGCCCCGAAACCGGCCAAGGATAAGAAGAGAAAAAAGGTTTCGCCCTCTGATACTCCAAAGCCTAGGAAAAGCACAGCTCGCAGGTCGAAGAAAGATACTGTCGCCCTGCCTGTGGATGCAGTTCAGAAGTTACTAGATGGGGAAGAGGAAAAAGAAGATGCTGACTACGGGCTGGTGGCTCAAAAGAGGAACGCTGAGGTCCTAAAGACCGCTGAGCCGGTGGTGGTATAAGAAGTTCAGCTTCGGGCCGAAAGGATTTCGGAGGGTGGCCCGAGCAAAATCCCCAAGGCATCGGAGGCTGAGGATGTCTACCGCCGTGATGGGTGATCGGTGGACGTACCCGAAGGGGCCAGTTTTGAGGCCCTTCAAAACGAAGAGAATGCCCCAAGTAACCCGCTTGGGGCAATAAATGTCGACGATTCACCGTCCCTCCCTTCATTTTCCGAGGGGCAAATTCATGAAGCCCTGGCCATGGGGACCCCCCATATGGGAGCGACTCACGAAGGGGAAGACCTTTTCCTTGGCTGCTTCACGGGGGTCGAAGAGACTTCCGATCTGGGTGATGCATTGAGTATCTTCGATGAAGCCCATCGACTTCTGAGTTAGGTAAGCCTTAGCTCCCTTTGTTAATATTACCTTTGTTTTTATTTCTTCTTGTCTGATTTCCTTTCTTTGTTCATAGGCTTTAACACTCCATCAGAAGGCGTTTTCTCAATCTCGGGCAGAGCTGGACCGGTGTGAGGCTGATCTCAAAATGCTTACGACGGAGAAATATGCCCTAAAACTCCTCATTGATCAAAAGGAAGAGGAGGTCAAGGGCCTTAGAGCTGAATTGGCAACAGCTCGTAGACGGAAAACCGACTTGATCGAGCAGGTAATGCAATTTTTTGGAAGTTCGTTTTATTAATCTGAACACGACAACTAACACTTCAATCTTGTAGGTTCAGCAAAAGGCCAAAAATATCGAGCAACTTCGTGAGGAGGCCAAGATGAAGGAGGCATAGAACTTGGGGTAGAAACAAAACATGGACCGCCTTGCCTCGTAGAAAGACACTGATCGGGCCCAGCTATCTTTGGCCGAATGTCAACTCCAAAGCATGAAGGAGGAGAGCTTGGCCCGAGCTAAGAAAATTGTGGAGCTCAAGGTTCGGTTGGCTGCTGAGCTCGGGAAGGCCGCATCTAAAGCAGAAAGAGCAAAGGCCGACCCGTAGGTAGTCGTGGCCGTCTACCGAGCCGATGCTGAAGCCGCTAATGCTCGAGCAAAGGAAATTTCTGATGCTGCTCAGGTTCGATCATTCTATGTTGTCGAGCATGACAAGTCCCAGTCTTGGAGAGAGACTCTCGAAGAGATTCATGCTCGTGGTTTTGACCTTACTGCCGATATCGAGAACACGGAAGTGCTAGAGGCCGAAGCCAAAGCTTTGCTCTCTGATGATGATGACTCCGGAAGCGCGAGTGGATCCGAGATCTGAAAAGATGAAGATGAAGCTCCCGTGGAAGATTAGGCACTCAGAATTTTTTCTTCTTTTTTGGATTTTTGTGTAAGATCCTGAGTGGTCTTTGTAAATACTTTTGCATGTATGAAAGATCCTTTTTCTTTCCAATTTGTCTCTGATTTTTATTTTGTGAAAACTCTGTTTTGCTTTTGCCTTATGATAGTTTTGATATACTTTATGTCTTGTGAGAAATTTGACTCACTTCTTTTCCTTGTGAAATTTTTGTTGAAATCGGATTGCTATAGTCTTTTTAATCGAGCGAGTACTTGCTCGAACTCGGAGTAGTAAAAAACCTTAGGTTTTGGTTAAGCGAGGGTGGGTCCTCGAGATCAACAATGTCATGGCCCTTAGGCTCTTGAATCGAGCCGATATGGCCCCAAAAAGACTGGCTTTTTCCTTTTTTTCCGGCTTAAAATTTTTTAATCATATAAAAATTTGTTATGCCTTAGCATGAGATAAATCTGTACCCATTAGGATTCAGTGTTATCGAAAAACTGTGTTATGCCATAGCATAAGTTTGTTCAATGTGGTACCTCTTAAGGTTTTCGAGGGCTGATGTTATCGAAACCCTATGTAAATTTACCGAGGGTAGAACTTTTTAATCGGTTTTATGAAAAAATTTGAAGGCCTGTTTGGTTACGAAATTTGGACGTCTCCGAACCGTGTTAGTTTGGACGTAGCCTTTAACTTGATATTTTCCCATTGGGCTTGTTTCTCGATTATACTTCATACTTGTTCGAAGTATCAGTCCCCGAGTGGGGTGGCCGTGACCTATAAAATCGAGGATTGCCCTTTTAAGGTCTTAAGATGTTGAAGTTTAATTATTCGAGCATGTCGATTTTCGAACGACAGTCCCCTAGTACAGTGTTTATTGCTCGAGCTTTAGTTGTGATTGGCTGTTGAGCCGGTTTTTGTAATATATCGTAAGTACGAAATTGCAAATAGAGATATCACTAAGGCATGGAATGCCTGATAAGGAAAAAGTACTTCTTTCAATAGATCATTCATGTGCACATGTTTTGTCATTAGGGCTCAGGAATCTACACGGGCACGGTTCAGTTGACCGCTTGGCCTTTTACAAAATTTTCCTATCGAGATCCTGTTGACATGAAGTATCTTCATTGAAAACATAACATTCGAGTGTGATGCCTCCCATTATTCGAGGTTGATTGTAAAGAAGCCTCGGATTCTGTTGAATTGTCCCCAGGTAGCACAGATAATTGTTGCCTCGTTAAAAACCTCGTCGGAAAAGCCCGTTTGGGACAAAAATCGATCTAAGGGAAAAAAATGCAACGCCTGCTTTAAAACCCGAGCCTTGTGTTGAAGAATTTCCGGATGTCTTTGATCGAACACCTGTAATAATTTAGTATCGAATATAAACAAAAAAGGGAGAGAGTCATACCTTAGCAATAGTATCGTTTGAGGAGTGATAT